TAAGAGAGAGCTCCTGTTTCAAAAATTAAGATGGAGAGAAACAGAGGAAGACATCTAATATTTACCTCTGGTCTTCACATATATGCTCACACGCATGTACATAAATGTGCATGTACAATGATGTTCACACACACACACACACACGCATGCACACGCTTCTTTTATTTGTAAAAATTAACAGATGAGCCTGTCCTTCACTTGGTAGTGTGCATGCCAGTGAGGAGATTTGACCCTTTTTCATGTTTAGCTCACTTTGCTGCTCATCTTGTGGGTCTCTAACCAGGATTTGGGAACCTAGAACTGACTGGGATACCTTTTGGGGATGCACCCAGAGCCAGCCTAGTTGAACTCACCCCGTTGTCTTCCAACCTAGTGGGGTGTGAAGCCCAGAATGTAATGTAAAGGGCCCCTTTCCCCTGTCCAACCTGTCCTGGGACTTCTGCCGTTGGAGGTCAAGTGTGGGGGTGCCAGTGGTGGCAACTTAGCCTTCTGCTCTTCAACCCCACCCCTGTCCAACTTACTTGGGAGTTTTCACCCCACAATCATGTCGTCAGTGAGTGCCTGTCCCCAGAACACTAACCCCCAAGTCATATGCGAGTGATACCGGGAAGGGAGAGCTCGGGAGGGAGCTGCGTGCCCACTCACAGGCTGTTGGGTCATATGCTGTGGAGGAAGAGGCTGGGCTCAAAGACTGAGCACTTGCCCCGTCCTTCTTAGGATCCCCCGGACCACTTTGGGACCCTGCACTCCTCCCATTGGCAAGAAGGACTCACTGGAGACCACCTCTTGATCTTAGACTCCCTGCTCCTAGAACCCCGAGATGATTAAACCTTGTTCTTCATAAATAGAACAGCAGAACAGGGACTAAGCTAGGCTTTCTCCCCACAGGAGTCTTCCTGGCCTCCTTAACCTGTGCAGTTCTGCCTAGAAGGTGTGATTCACAGATGTCAGGGGTCTTCTCGGTTTCCCTGAGCTTTCTCTTGGGTTCATGGACAGAGCTGAGTTGATGGGTGAGTGCCATGTCCTGGTTAGCACTGGGAGGTTGAAAGGATGAGTCCTTTCAGTCAGCCTGAACCTGGAGGGCCACACGACAAGCGCACTGCAGACCACAGGCTCCTGTGCGCTGAGGCCAAATCATAACTGCATAGACGCATAAAGTACCTTATGTAGGCAAGACTCATCTGGGATGACGACAGCATGGTCAGGGGGGTGACAGGGGTCTTCTTATTCATTACAAATGGGTTGTATCCCCTATGTCCACCTGGAGAAATGTCCCCAGGGTGAGGATCCCAGAAGGGCACTTCCAAAGATGACCAGGGCTGTAGTTTCAAGTAGATGTGAGATGTCCCAGATGACACTCCACATTTCTTGCCTAAGCGGCTAAGAGCACAGGCTAACCAAGCCAAAGGCAAAGAACCTGCAGACACTCAGCCAAAACCATGCCACCCACAAGGGTTCCAGCCAGGGAGAAGCGAGCCAGTTAGAAGCAAGATGAGCTAGTCAGAGCTCTAGCTGCATCTAGGTGGGGATGTGTCTCCATGGGACTGACAGGGATGCGGGTAAAAGGCTTCCTAACATCTGTCGTTGATGCTCAGTGATGCAGAGCCTCACAGTGATGAGAGGAGATGGGAGATGGGGCTGAACTGTTCCTAAACACAAACTGGAGCCTTTACACCAGCACCTAGGGATAGAAATTCACTAGCAGTAGGGGCTAGCTATAGGATTAATTAGATAAGGTCACTTTGGAGAGGGTAGGTCTCAGCTAGAGGGACTGATGTCTATGTAGAAAGGGGATTATGGACATTGATGCAGAAGGGTAAAGGCAGAAGACGGGGAGGTGTCTAGGTACCAAGGAATCCAAAGGTTGCTGGAGAATTCAGAGGCAGGAGGGGGACCTGGAACTTAACCGGCTCACAGGGACTGAGGATCCCCCTATCTTGAGTTCCAATTTAAGACCCCAAGCCTGAGACAATGCTTCCTAAGCCCCTTCTCCATAAGCTGTGGTACTTGGTGACAGTGGTCCAGTCAAGCCAGTAAAGACAGGAAGTACCAATAAGCCAGGTGAGATTGTGTGTGTGTGCTGGTGAGATTAGAGCTGGACAATTTTGAGTTTTATGCTGGCCTGGGCAATCTGATGAGACATTGCCCCAAGAAAGGTCAATATTCTAAACTAATATAACACATACACACACAGAGTTCTATCTATCTATCTCTCTATCTCTCTATTTCTCTATCTCTCTATCTATCTATCTATCTATCTATCTATCTATCTACCTATCATGTATGTATCGCTGTTTTCTAAATATCTATCCTTATTAATACAAATGTGCCCTCATCCCTCATCAAAGAAGATTTTCTTTTTTATCATTTTTTTCAATTTTTTAATTTAATTTTTTTAAAAAACTGTCCTTTCTCATTTCACATGCCAAATCTACTTCCCACTCCTTCCCCAAAGAAGATTCTTTTTGCAGCATAAGGCGGTGATTTCAGAGATGCCCAACACAGTCACAGGAGAACAAGTGACTGGATCGCACAGCTCCGACTGATAGATTGGGAACGCAAACCCTGACGCTAAGGCTCAGGGGAAATCACAGAAGACAGCGTGGAAAACTTGTAGGAGCCGGAGGCCCAGGCCACCTGTTGACAGAGCGTTCCCTGGACACTACAGGGCCAGTACACCCATGAGCTCTCAACCATGGCAGACTGAACACAAGACTAGCATGATTACAACACCACTTGCCACACAGATGTGAACAGAGGAAATTCCACACGGTCCTATCCCCATATGAAAAACTATCGGAGGCTAATGGCTAACAAGAGAGGGGGAATCAGTTGCTTCAAAGACAAATTCCCAGGCAGGTTGTCCAATCCCAAGAGGTCAACCCTGAACACGTACACATAGGAACAAGCCTGAATGGGCTTAATAGGTTATCTATGCAGACGTGTATATACATATATGTATGTACGTATTTTTCAAAATTATGGATTATAGAAAGCAAGTCTGACTTTAGGAAATGTGTCCTTAGGATGCGCTTGGCAGTTTTCATAAGTGGTCTGAGCAAATCTCACGAGGCAGTCACTGTTTTTCCCAGATTGTAGGTGGGAGGCTGGAGAGATGCCCCAGTGGTTAAAAGTTCTGGCTGTTTGTTCTCCCAGAGGACCCAGGTTCAATTCCCAGCAGCTACATGGCAGCTCACAACCACATGTAACTCCAGTGCCTCCCCAGACACGAGGCGCACATGCGATGCAGACGTACGGGCAAAACACCCATACACCTAAGATAAAATAATAAAATGGAAAAACGAAAGAACGAAAGAAAGAAAATGTAGGCGAGAAAACCGTAAAGAGACTGCGAGGCTCGCCAAAGGTCACCATGTTCACCAATGGCTTTATGGATTCCTAACTTACGGCTTCTTCTGAAAGGGTCTGCCAGCAAGGCAGCCCAGGCTGGCTTTGAACGTTTGACGGGCATGCTCAGCTATGCTTGTCTTTAGTCTGGATACGTGGTGGTCCATTTCCAAGCCTGAATTTCCTCACCTTAGTCACTAGGCAGTCAGGGTTGAGGTTGGGAGACGTGTAAAACTAGTAAGCATGAGAGGGGCTGTCTACGGGACCAACTGAAATAAAGAGAGCGAGGCAATCCGGAAGGGAGAGATGTCCTGGACGTAAAGTCCACTGCCACCAAGTGCAGGGCATTGGCTGTGTGACAGGCTCGGCGCAAGGCTGTTCAGATGGCCAGAGAGGAACGCCGGCTCCAAGACATTTGCCAGACAATCTAGAGCAGGCCTGCAGAACACACCCCTCTGTCCGTACTCTGTCATAAAGTTGCATTTGGGGACATGCCCAGTGTACCAGGTCACCAGAGTGAGTCATAGCCTCCTTTAGGTCTCGGGTCCTTCTCTCCGGTGACCCATGATCCTTCTCTCTTTGTTCCCTGGGTTTCCTGACAAGGTTCCCCCAAGGTTCATCTTTCATCCCTAGGGCCTCGGACCATCTCCCATGTTCAGAGCTGTATGCTCATCAGTCCTGAGAGCAACCCAAGGGCTCTCCTACCAGAGGCCAGCATGGAGGCCAAGTATTCCCAGCCTCCCAACCGGCCTTGGCCTGCAGCCTAAGGTGATGAGCACACTCAGTTCCCAGTCCTACCCAGCTCTCAAGATTGTGAAGAGGCCGGGGTGGAGGTGACTGAAGCCTCATATGAGCAAGGGGACATCGTTACAGGTAAAACATGTCCTAGGGCAGTCAGCACAGGGTAGAAGCTTGGGTCACTGTCTTACGCTTTGCAGGAGTAGCCCTGGCCCAGGAGCTAGGTGACTTTTCCCCTAGCCCTGGGTTCCCAGTGAAGGTGGGCTCAGTCCTGAGAGTAGAGGGTACAGGGTACAGGGTAAAGAGTATAGGGGAGTGAGGTCAAGTTTTCTCTGTGAGGAATTTGACCAGGATCGCTGTACCCCTCGATCTCACCCTCCCCCGAGTCCACCATGGATGCTAGGAGGCCAGGAATGTGCGGTCTAGAGTCCTCCAGAGATGGCAACATAGGAAACTGTGCCCATGAGGAGTATACAGCTGATAGACCCTTGGGGAGAAACTGCCAGTCATCTATCCAGTGTGTAGTGTGGGCCTCATGGAGGGATGTCCCCAACAATAAGAAGACACAGGGAAGGGCCAAGGACACCAGGGCCTGGCAGAATCCTGAAGCAGAGCCGTGGTGGCCAAGGCCAGACCCACCATTGCTCCACAGGGAGGGACATAAAGGATCAGCTGAGATTGGACAAATGTTCAGTCTGCCTGGAAGAAACTAGGAGGCGGATGCTGAGCCCTGGCAGGCCCTCCACCTGTAAAACCCACCGAGGGCGAAAAAAAAAAAAAAAAAAAGGAGCCAATCTAGGTAACCAAGAGACACAGGTGTTCCTCTCCTCCAGTGACAGGGACTCTGGGTGCCCGTTTCTTCAAGCCCTGCCCCAGCCACCAACCCTGATCCCACGTCCCTCGGAGCCACATACCTAGAAGCCACCCTGCTTGCCAGCTCAACTGCAGCACAGCCCAAGTGAGAGGCCAGGGCACCTGCCGGACCCACATGCCCAGAGCCCCTGGCTGCGCCTCCTTCAAACGCCGGGGGCCCGCTATCTCCTCCTCCTCGGCTGCTGAGGCAGAGTTGTCTATAGCGGAAGGGAAACGGTCCTGGGTTATGCTGGAGGGAGGAGACCTGTTCTTGGCTCCCGCCCCCTCTTCCTCCACCTCCACAGAGGTGGGAGAACAGGCAAAGAAGGGTGGGGGAGGGGCCTGGGAAGGAGGAGGGGGAGGGAAAGATGCCTGGGAGGAGCAGGTGGGGGCGGCTAGCGAGAGGTGAGGGAGTTGGGGAAGTAGCGAGAGGTGAGGGAGTTGGGGAACAGAGCGAGAGAAGAGAAGACCAGATGCCTTTGCCTCCCGCCCCACTATGGGTCTTCTCCACTTCAGGCAAATTTGGTCCTTTCCATTCCCTAAATCCTGATTGTTAGCTCCTGAGGTTTAGGGAGCCTGAGACGAGGGCTTTACTCTTGTCCCTTTGGAGGATGGGTGTACTCCTGGGCTGCAGGGAGGGTGAGCTGGACCTTCACCTATCTTGGCTGGCAAGTGTGACCTTTGAGTCCCCTGAGCTATGGCTTGGTCCTTTACTTTTGGGGAGCAAGAGCCAAGTCACCGCCACCTGCTCTGCCCGATGGGTCAGAGGAGGCCTGAAAGCCTCTCCTAGTACCCCCAAGAAGATGCCTCTCTCCCCAGCCACATCCTCAGACCCAAAAACCCCCTGGGTCTGGTCTGGCTTTCTCTCATGGCTTCTTTTCCCCTTCAAGACACTGGGCCCACCTGTTCAGCTCACTGTCTTCTCTGCTTCCATAGTGGTCCTAGTATTGCTGGTCCTGCTGACCTCGGTCTTCCTCTTCGCTGACCTAGTGGTCAGGTTTTATGTCCTTCCCAGTCAACCTTTCTCATTCCCTAGGTGGTGGGGGACCCCCAACACCTGTCCTGTCTCTGTCTCCCTGGGGAGGGAAGGGGTAGGCAGACCTGTGCGTATAGCCCCAGGCTGGTTGGCCATTTGTGGACATCTCTGATTACTTAAGAGTTCGGCTCTCATGTGTTTTGTCACCGTAAATGGGAAATAGGAAAAACGAAACTGCTGATATTAGATGTGTGGGTCTCACAACCCTAAAATAACCAGCCCGGCTGGAAACCATCTGCCAGCTGTGGCAGTCACCCTAGTTCAGAGGCACCGGGCTCAGCGGGGAAGGAAAGGAAACGTTACTTTGTACAGCGCCGCCGAGATGGAAAAAGAGTGTGAGGCACAGACTGGCCGCCCCCAGTCTCAGTATGGGGCTTGTGGGCAGAAGCGAGGGGGATCCCCTCCCCAGGCCTGGCTGTTACAGAGCCTCCTGACAGCCTTGTGGCTCCCAGGCATGTTCAGGCTAGCAAGTCCCTCAAGCGGGCTGGGCAATTAGGAAAAGACTACAGGCCTAGGGTGGGTTCTGGACAGAGCCCACGCAGTCCTGTTCTGATGTTCTAGCTAGACTTCTGCTGGACTCTGGGACTTCGGGCTCTACAAGGTACAGTAGCTTGTGAGGACTGGAGAGGAGCAGGAAGGAGTGTGAGCAGCAAGCTCTCATCCCATTCCCGGAGGCTGACTCAACATCCTAGGCCAGCAAGTAGTGGGACATCTTATTATAGAAAGGGAGAAAACCCCTGCCTGTCTCCCTCCCTTCCTATTCTGCTGCACTTTCTTCCTCCCCTTTATCTCTAGGCCTTATTTCTCTCTTCTTTCCTTTCTCCTCCCTAGCAGTGGGGTGAGGGACAGCCGTACTTGGTTTTCCTGTGGCAATAGCCGCTGCAACCCCCTTCACGAGGAAATGTTTTCCTGAGAGGGTCTGGGGTCTGAATCTTGTGGGTCCCAGGGCTTGCAAGGAGGCAGGCAGTGGGAGAGAAAGGGCAGGAGGGAAAGGGAAGTGTTGGGTATGGAACAACGGGGTCCTAGGACCAGGCCTATAGAGGGATTGCTGGGTCATACCCCAACTCACACTATTTACGCCTTATCCTACCGTCCCCACAAACCCCACAATCTTCAACATACATATTATTCCCCAGAACCACAGTCCAAAATACACATGCTAGCCCCAAGCACACATATTCTAGAAAGTACATATGATCTCCCCGTTCTCAGTGATCTGCAAATACACATGTAATCCCCAAGACATATGTTGTCCTCCAGTACTTCCAATTCCAAACACACACATTATGTTCCATGACATGCAATCTCTAACACAATACTATCCTACAGTACACACCCAATTCCAATTCTTTGTGTAGTCCTGGCTGTTCTGGAACTAGCTCTGTAGACCAGGCTGGCCTCGAACTCATAGAGATCTGCCTGCCTCTGCCTCCCGAGTGCTGGGATGAAGGCGTGAGCCAACACTTTCTGGCTCATGCTATCTTCCAATACATATAAAATCGCTATCACACTCTCTTCCCCAGTAAAGCGATTCCCAGCATAATGCTGTCTCTTAATATATATGCAATCCCCAACACACATGATATAATCCACAGTCTCAAACACATATACTGTCTCGCAATAGACACACAATCCTCAGGACTCACTTTCTCCTCTGATACCCATGCTATGTCCCAATACACACATAATTCCTAACACACAAGCTGTCCCACTGTGCTGGCTACCTGTTGCTTCAGTTTTTAATGGGGCATCATTCCCTCCAGTCATAGGTCAGCTCTCCCTTTGGGTACTGAGCCAGGGTTGGTGTCATGATCTGTTTCCAACTGAGGCAGGTGTAGGAAGATCCCAGTTGGTAAGGATCATGGGCAGAGCTGCTAGGGACATTCTTGTGTGGATCTGGGTATGGCCAGCAGTTAGCATTCCGTGAGTGTGATCGTTGGATGTGAGGTTGTCATGGTAGCATGAACTGGAGAGCCTGCATCCACATCTGTTTCTTACTGGACTCACTGAGGAAATACTCAGTAAGCCAGGTAGGAAGAATTAACCCAAGACTTAGTTCGGTGGTCACCAGCGGAGCTTCCCTGTGTCAAGCCCTCAGAAGTCTCCCCGCCCCGGTGGGGGCTCTCCTCCTTCTAGACAGGGCAGAGAAGCGTGAGTTTCCAGGGTGTTGACCTCAAGATTATCACACAAAGGCAGCACAGGTGGAAAGTTAGGGAGAGGGGATCCCCACACTCTGGAGGTAATGGGAAGTTTCCATCTAGGTGGGGACAGGGACAGAAAGTTCAGAAAACAGAAGGATCATTTTGAAAGAAGTGTAAGGGAAACAGGAGGTAGAGGGGCAGGCCAGAATCCAGACCCCAAACCCACTGTGGCCCACAGTGAGGTCTCACTGGGGCACAGGGCCCAGCGGCCCAGGTGACAGCTGTTTCGAAGGTACTTCTGAGGTTGGAACAGGAAATGGTTAATAGTGTTTGCAAATAAAAACTCTCTGTTCTGCCCTGTTTTGAAACATTTCCCAGAAGCTAAAGGAAGAGCCGCTAATTTATCTGCCCAATTTAACACACACACACACACACACACACACACACACACACACACACACCACACTTCACACTTAATCATGTACTTGTTCCTTAGAACATATGACTTCCAGTTCCCCTTTCCTCTGAACTTTCTACCGTGTAATTTGTGGTTTAAATGTGCATCTGCATGTGATTTCCTATTGTGCACTTCTGCGTGTTTGTTGCATGTGTGTATGCAGTGTCCATGTGCTCCCAGTGTGTCTGTACTTTGTGCCACACGAGCACAGAGGGCATCTGCATTTTGGTCTTCTTGACTACACAGATGGCTACAGGAGAGCCTCACTAAAGCCCTGAAGCCGGGCTGGGCTGAGATGGGCACCCAGCGGGCCATGCATGCAAGCACAGTGACCTCTGGGAAAGACTCTAAAGCCAATGACCGCTGAGCTGCAGAGGACCGAGGGGACTAGTCACCAGCTGAGTGGGTGGGCATAGTTTTCTGTCAACTCACACAAGCTGGAGTCTTCTGAAAGGAGGGAGCCTTTACCGAGGAAGCTTCCAGACGATCTGGCTGCAGGTCATTTTCTTTTCTTTTCTTTTTTTTTTTTAAGATTTATTTATTTATTATGTATACAACATTCTGCCTCGATGTATGCCCACACGCCAGAGGAGGCCAGATCTCAGTACAGATGGTTGTGAGCCACCATGTGGTTGCTGGGACTTGAACTCAGGACCTCTGGAAGAGCAGCCAGTGCTCTTAACCTCTGAGCCATCTCTCCAGCCCCCGCAGGTCATTTTCTTGATTAGTGATTGGTGGGGAGGGTCCAGTCCATTGTGAGGGGTGTTGTCCCTGGGCTTTCTATAAGAAAGCAGGCTGAGCAAGCCATGGGGGAACAAGCTGGTAAGCAGCGCCCCTCCATGGCCTCTGCATCGACTCCCGCCTCCAGGCTCCTGCCCTGTTTGAGTTCCTGTCCTGACTTCCTTCAGGGATGGACTACAAAGTTTAAGTGTAAGCCAAATAAACCTTTTCCTCCCCGGGTTTCTTTTGGTCATGGTGTCTCACCATAAGGACAGAAAGCCTAGCTAAGACCCTCGTCCACTCTTAGGTGTCTTGAGCTTACAGTTAGGCCGCCATTCTGCCAGCTGCCCTAGCCCTTGTCCCAGTGGAGCTTAGAAGCTGAGCCACAAGGCGAGAGTGGACAGGGCCAGGAGCAAGGGCAAGAGTAGGACTTAGGCATCTTGCTAGGTGACTGATAAATAGCGCTGAAATTGACTTTGCTTTCCCAACGGTCTCTTCCCTGCCCTCTTCCTTGTCTCTCTTCCAGCCCTTGAAAGCTATTTCCGGGGAGGCTTCTCAGGTCTTAGGATAGGATTCTCATAAATAATCTGCTCCTATCTCTTGTTCTCAGAGGCCAGCATCCATGCAGTCGGCTGAGGATAGCTCCTCACACCCATCCTGATGGGGATACGTCAGCACAGCTGGATCCAGGCTTGAGAGTTACCTCATAGCGGGCACAGTTTTTATTCACTGGGATTTTTTTTTTCTGGTTTAGATGAAGAGAGTACATAGGGATGATTGATCT